TATATATATATATATCTTGAAAGACAAATATTCATGACAGAGCACGAGGAGCGTGCTGTTCTTTTCACCACACTTCGCCTGGTAAATATACACTGACTGCTCACTAGAACCTCCTCGATATTTTCAAACAAATCCTGGCCCCACTCTAGCAATTAAAGTAGAATCTCTGAGAAGACCGAGCTCAAGCAGCAGTATATATTTTCTAAATCTCCTCAGGTGATGTTATGTGTAGCCAAGGGCTACGAACCCTGGGGTGGCCCTGCAGGCACTGCAAAGTCCATCGGCACTCCAGCACAGAACTCCTATGGAATGCTCCCTTTCCATTGCCCCATGGCATCTGCCCACAGACAGGCTACAGCTATCGGATACATTGACTGTATGTTACCATAAACTTCACTTGTAGTGCCCACCGTTAAGCACCTGTCCTTAACATTAAATTCCACAATGATTTTTAAATGTGTCTGTTTTTTTTAAAACTTAATTTTTCTTCTGAGGCAGGTGAACTTTGGACTGAATAACGTAGTGGAGCTGCGCGTTCTCTTAACTTGTGTCACTCCTAAGTGGCCATCGCCATCTCACACACACAAGCACACACCTAATAAAAGTGCCAGTAAAAGCAACAACAATTACTTACATGGTTCAGGATGGAATCTATGTAAAGAAAATCCAACTTTATTCTATAGCCAGCATGCTAAGGCTTTGGAATGACGTACATTGTGACACACTATTAAAAACACATTGAATGCTGCCTTCTGTTAAGCTTAAATAAATTTATTCCTCAGTCATAATCTTCAGACCTTATTCAATAACAATGATATAAACAAGGCTTGGGTTTAAATAATATGTATTTACTAAAATATACCATATCACCCATCATAAGATCAATGAGACTCCAACTATTTTGACTACGATTGGTTTCCCTATCAGTTTACTTAATTCCAGGGTAATATTAAATCTCATTAGACTCTTTTATGGGCTGTGATAAAAACAAGGGAACTTTTAATTGAGTGTTTAATTGAGGTACTTAAGTACTATGCAAATCAAAATAAACCAGAATGCTGACTAGTGATCTTTTGTCCTTCTTCTCATAGAAGAAAAAGAAATGTTTTGCATCATCTACTCTGGACTAAGCCAGCCCAGAACCTAAACCATTCAGTGGCCTTAGGAAGTACTTACCCTGTAGCCTCTTCCAACTATTCGGCAATTGCTTTTCTTCTTAAATGGGAGAAAAGTACCTTGTGATGAAATATTCTAAGTAACTAAGGAGGCAATGCAGTCCCATTTTAAGCCTCAGTAACATTTAAAGACTTGACCCCAAGAGTTGAGGGTTTGGCTCCCCAGGAGAAAGCTGAGGCGGCGGCTGCTGTTGAAAACCCTGCAGGAGCCATCTACACGCTCTACTAGATGAAATGGGATCGTGTTGTTCCTTGGGATCTTCTGTGTTTTAAACCACGCCCCAGGAGGTACAGATGGTGACCTCATTGGAGGGCTGAGTCTTCCTAGAACTGCTAGAGGAGGCTTGTTGATCTATTTCTGGGAATCAACTATTGTAAGAACCCTGTGGCGCACACTTCTATTCTGACATACATGGCATGGTCAGCATACACAGGATTGCCCGCATGAAAACTCAGACCTCTTACTTGTAAATCGAGGAATACCTGAGAAATGCAACTTATGAATGTGTGCATACTATGAACTCTGAGCTGGAGCACAAGCTGTCCTCATCCTTTCTCCAGAACTGTGGATGCCTGAAAGCCAAAGGGATGTGTGTATGTGTGGGGGAGGTGGGCGGCGGAGGGTGGGGGTTGGGGTAGTGGTGTTTGTTTTTATACACAGTTGGATAGTAAAGCAGAGTGAAGATATAATTTTTTATTCTGCGTATGTCAGCTTTGCTGGCAGGTTTTTTTTTTTAAAGCTCTCAGCTTTTTATTTTAAAATGAAGGGGAAAATATTAGGGTAAAAAAATAAATCTTATTTGTGGACTGATATTCCAAAGACATATAGAGCTTTTATTATTTTAAATTTCCTACTTTTATAGTCTTTAATTTATATATATATGTGTGTGTGTATATATATATTATTATTTTATATATATATAATGTTACCATGACACTCTTTTATTCGTTTAACTTCTTGCTTGTTTCACTGAACATTTGCTGGTTATCCGTCAAGCAGATTTTAGCTTGTCAAGGGCCCTCTTTAGTCCACGTGAATGACAATTGTATTTAAAAACAAACTTCATTTTTAAAAAGGAAAAATCGTTGAAAGCTTTTCAGGCTAAGAGATCTGTATGTAAATATAAGCTTTCCTCTCAAAAATGTGATTATGGGTACTGTGTGTGCTCACCAGGGACTGGACAGAAATACACACATTAAGCATCAAAATTGGCACTTGCATTTCTTAAGTGGTATTGTCCTTAACACAGACAGGTAGGAGGAAAGAAGTCCTTTTATTTTTTCACACGGTGAAGAACCTGAGCATTGCTAAAGCAAATTTCTATTTGGACTGTTCTTATTGGCTTACTTTTCTTTCAGACGTGCTTGCCAGGATTTTATCGACTACCTTCTGAACCTGGTGGCCCCACCCCTGGACCAACCCTAGGCACCTGTGCCCCATGTCAGTGTCATGGACACAGCAACTTGTGTGACCAGTCAACGTCCAAATGCCAGGTATTCACCTGAGAGTCTTTCTCCTCCAAGGTCCATGAGGTTTCTCTTTACATATGCTGCTACTGTGAGCAGAGGCCAGTGACACCCTAGGGGAATGTTATTTGTTGAAGAAGTGAAATAGAATATGCAGGGGAAAAAAACAACCAAAAAATGACATCTACCCTATTGTAAATTTTAACAAGTAATTTCAAAATGGTAACTGGAAAAGTTAAATTTGGAGCCAAGGAATAGAATTTTAACAGCCTTTGAGAAGAGTACCTGACAACACAAATATTTAAAAACCTGATCTATTCATTCTCCCCACTCCCTTACTGCGGACAAATAAAAGCCTTTTATAAAAATTTGAAAAATATAGGCACGTACTAAGAAGAAGATAAAGCTTATTTCTCTTATGTATCTAATGCTGCTATGACAGAAATTCCCCCAAGTGGGTGGCTTGAACAGACTTATTATTTCAGAGCTTAGGAGGCTAGAAGTCTGAATCGAAGGTGCTGTCTCTTGAGGCAGACTTTCTCTGTCAGCTCAGGGGAAGTTCCTGTCTCTGCTGAGCTTCTGCTCCTGGACAATCTTCCTGTGGCTGGCATGTGTCTTCCCTCATTTTTGCCCAACCCCTAGCTAATTTGATCTCAGATCACCTAAAATAAACTGAATTAAAACACACCTTTAATTAACTTCTACTGCCCATTGGCATACATAACAGAGACTACTCATTTCCAAATGGGAATATAATCCATGTTGATAAGAGGCAAAGTCATTAGGATTTACAAACGTATTTTAGGGGATACAATCAGTCCATGCGATTCCACCTTGGGACCTCAAAATAGACATTGTTGTCACTTACAAAGCACACTCACCTCATCATATGGCCCCCTAACCAGAACCAGATCTACTACCAACAAGTTGATTCTGATTTACAGAAACCCTATATATTTGTATTTCAGATTTCACCCATTAGACTATACAACCTACATTCATATATGTCTATATGAGGGGGTACCCCTCAATAAACAGGATTTTTTTTCAAAACTACGTATTTAATTTTTTTTTACAAAACAAATTTATCACCTTCAAAGTACTCTCCGTTATAATTAATACATTTATCAAATCTGCAATTCCATTCTCGGAACATTTTCAAACTCAATGTTTGGATGGCTGACAGGATCTCCCTCCTTGTTGACTTCACCTCTTCTATATTATCAAATCACTGCCTTTCATGTCCCTCTTCATTCATGGGAACAAAATGTTGCACAGAGCAAGGTGAGGTGAGTATGGTGTGTGGAGCTCTAAGAGAAGCATGCTGGGTCTTGCCCACACTGGCATACTGAGATGGCATTGTCATGGTGGCAAAACCAGTCCCCAGTCTGCCACAAATCAGGCCTTTTTTGTTGCACACTGTTAAAGTAATCTTTTCAGAACCTCTAAATAGAAAGCTTGATTAACAGTCTAACGTGGTGGGAAGAACTCCAAATGTACTATCCCCCTCACATTGAAAACAAACGAGCTTCATCTTGATCTTTGATTTCCCTTGATGAGCTTTTATGGGCAAGGTGATGATGGTGTCTTCCACTGGCTTGATTGACGTTTGCTTTCAGGTTGTAAGAATAGCACCATGTCTCATCATCAGTAATGACCTTGGAAAAAAACTCCGGATCACTTCAGAGCTGTTCTCCCAAAGCACAGCCATGTTTCCACCTGAAACACTTTTCCCTGATCAGTGAGAACCTGAGGCATAGATTTCACAGCAACCCTTCTCATTTCCCAATCTTCCATTAAGATTTCCTGAATTAAGCTCCGAAACAGCCCAGATAACTTCCCCATCTCTTCAATGATCTATTGTCAGTCATTGAGCACAAGTGCATAGATTTTGTCAATCTTTTTGTCCAACCAGAATGAGCTTTGTCATCAATCAACATTTCACTTTTTTGTAGATGAGAAAAACACTCCTATACTTGTGTTTTTCCCTTAGTTCTGTCCTCATAAGCTGTGTTCATCATCACCACAATTTCTGTGGCTTCTTTCCCAAACAGGGACCACAATTTCACAGCTGCATGCTGTTCTCTTAAATTGCCCATCACAAAAAAAGGAGGTTCAAGTGAACTGCTTTTATGAAAAAAGTCACTGTGACCAGAGAGAACCTTCCCAGGCAATGCCACTGGATGCACTAACTCAGATAGAGTTGCTGGATGCTGGCCTTGTGGGGCAAATGCTTATTATGAAAATTCTGCCCAGCAGAGATTTTTTCTTCTGTTTTCTTTGGGGGGGGGGTACTCCCTTGTGTATACACACACACATATACATATATATGTGTACCTATATAGGCTGTAAATATTATGGGAGCAGGCAGTCTTCTTTTTCTCTTTTAAAGTAGCAGGGTGGGTTTGAACCACCAATCTTGTGGTTAGCAACTCAAAGTAAACCCATAGCACCAGTTGTTGTTATTGTTAGGTGCCATCCAGTTGATTCTGGTTCACAGCCACCTTATGTACAACAGAACAAATTACTGCTCAATCCTTCAATATCCCCACAATTGTTTTGTGTGAGCACATCATTATAGTCAATATTTGACACAGTAGCACACCAACAGGGCTCCATCATATTATTCCCATCGTCTTAAATCAACTTCAAATCCAAAATCTTATCTTCTGAATACCAAAATCTAATATGAGTAAGACAGTAAGTATATTCCATCCATGAGCAAAATAAAATTCTTTACCTATGAATCAGTGAAATCTGAAATACAAATTACTTTTTAAATCCATCAGTTTGATTAAGTTCATCCTTTTTATTTAACATTGTGCTTGTGACAAGGAGAAATCATGTGGCCTCTTTCAGATCTGGTTTCAAAATTTCCTCAGCCAGAGATCTAAGTCTGCCATGTACACGTTTTACCTTCTACCTAGCATTTGAACAGAATTCTGAGTCTTTTACCACTGCATAAAAATCACTGCCTTGCCACCAGGTTCAAGCGTGTATTACTTTTCTTTAAATATATATATTGTGAATTAAGTGTAAGTTTACAGAATAACATCATAATTCTATATTGAACAATTCATATACGCCCTGACTCAACTCACCCATTAAAATCCTTACCAGAAGCAGGCTTATCGTCCACATTTTTATCAATATGGAGCTTATGCAATATGTATCCTATGCAAAAGAGACTTTCTCATAGCCCTCCTCACTTTCTTCTGAGTCTTCACCAGAATTATCTTTGACAACCCTCACCTTACTAACAATCACTTCAAGGTAATCTAGGTTTCCTTATTAGGCATTTTAGTATTTGTTTAGCATCCACCTGTTAGGCGATTCCAAAACTGCTTCCACATTGCAGGTATTTGTTAGAACAACAACCTCAGCTCTTGGCACCAAGTTCAGTCTTAGTTCCCTAGTGATGCCTAGAAAGGCCACAAGTGAGTGGCTTTAACAAACAGAAAGTATTTTCTCAAATTTTAGAAAAGTAGAAGTCCAAATTCAGGCTACAATATCTTGGGGAAAGCTTTCTTTCTCTGCTAGCTTGGGGTGTGTGTGGGTGGGGGAGAGGGGGCTCTTGTCTCCTCTCAACTTTTGCTCCTGGGTAATCTTCCTGTGGTCTGGCATCTTTCCACATCTCTGCTTCTTTTGTTTGCTGGTTTACTTTCTTTTCTGTCTCAAAAGAGCCTGCCTTAAAAGCCACCCTACTCTGGACATGTCCGTTAGCATAACAAATGGCACTCATTCCTAAATGGCATCAGCACCACAGGCATGTGTTCTTAGGTGCCAAGTCAATAAATACAGACAAGGAGTAATTCACAAGAGTGAAACAGTCCTGTCCAGCACCATCTGCACAATCCTGTGTTTGCGCCCATGGTTGCAGTCATCTTACTGAGCATTGACCTCTTCCTCACTGACCCTCGATTTCAGTAGGATGAGGGCCTTAGGAAGTGATTGGTCATTCTGTACAGTAAGCCACGTCTCACCAGACCCAATTCAAAGGGGGCATTCAGACTGTTCCTCCTCCCAAAACATTTGTTCTTCTGGAATTCCTAGATGTGATCATTATTCCTTGCCAATAACATCGTGTAAATGCATCACCTCTCTCAAGTCTTCCCTCTTTACTGTCCAGGTTTCCTATGTGCAGAGGTTAGCATTTGCAACACGCAATTCTGAAGGACGCAGCTGTGAGGTTTCTGGGGTGGTTTACCTCACTTCTTGCTTCTGACCCTGGAAGAATTCACAGGGCAGAAGCACTTTTGTAATCCAATAACTTTGATGAGGGAAAGGAAAGTCTCAGGTATTACAGTCTAGAAAGTACATGCTATCCATGGAAAGTGTGCAAGGCTGCAGGGCAGGGACCATGGGAAAATTTACTACTAAAAATGTCTGTTTCATGGGAGAGTGAAACCCCAAGTGAAGAGAATCCTGGCATAGGAGGGTCGAACCACAGCAGTAGAGCCCAAAGCAGGAAATTCCAAGAGGCCTCCCTGAGCAAGATAGGTCAAGCCCATAGGTGTGCGTCCCCACCCTCCAAGAGGACACCTGAACAAGAGAAGAGAGCTGGCCTGCGTTCCGCCTGCTTTTATTCCCTCCTGTCCCCACCAGCTGGGAGGCATGGTGGACGGTACTGGTAGACCTTATTGGCCCAGTTTAGGTGCACCTGTGTGATGTAATATTACTGGTGCCTAATGTGGACGTACCCATGTTGGCTTCCACCTGGGCGGCCTAGTTCTGCTTATGACCAGTTTGGGTGTCTAATTAGCATAACTAATTCCTTTCCAACCCCTTTATTGTGGATGGGTAGCTAATTTTTGCTTAATGTCGGCATTTGGTGAAGACACCCCCTTTATCCCTAATCTAGCTACCTTTCACATCTAATCTGTAACAACCATCCAGTATTTAACATCATGAGATATGCACTTAATACTTCATGTATGCCAGACCAATTTTATGTATTGTCTGTTTTTATAAATAAGATTGATATAATGTCATAATTGGGATGTCCCATAATTTAATTATTTCCCTTA